CCACCATGGAAAACCTGCGAGGTGGGGTCGTGGATGCACACTGCTGAGGAGTCCCACAATAGGACGAAACGGCCGTCCAGTGCTTCCAGGTTTTCCATGGTGGTCTAGTTTCAATTGGCTCATGATCTCAACTGTTGAAATTACTACAATCTCCACAAAACCCCTTCTGATACTAATTCTCTTTACAGTGAATTCATTTTCAAAATCGTACAATCGCAAATATATACTTATTTTTCAGAATCTTAATAATTACACATGTGATGATAATAAAATCCTGTTAAACATAATAACAGTGATGTATAATAAACAAAGACATTAAAACGTTAATACAAGCAGGGAAACTAATAACAGTTTTTTTGTTCAGGACTTGAATATACATCATGAAGATATATAGGGAAATTATAATTGCGAAAGGAAGACAACATGGCAAGATAAAATGTTGAGATTAAGATGAACTGTAATCAAGAGGCTTATAGAAACAGAAATAAAACAGTAGGGGGTGACAGGTCTATAACGAATATAGAAGAGAAGTAGATGACTCTCAAGGAAGAAAAGTAAGGAGAAGAAAAGAAATCACAAGAGATTAATACCATGGTATAAGATGAGATTGTACAAGTTTCTTTTAGACACATAATTCTGGTTTCACCAGGTGTATGGCTATTGCTTCGACAATGTGAAAAACATGCAATATAACTGATTTTGGGAGACTTCTACTTACCTTTTAGATGACTTTGAACGCAGAGTTCGCTTAAGTTGAGTTACCTGTGTTCACAAGGTGTTCGATTATTGAGCTTCTGATTGACCCATCTTTGCCTCTTTTCATCCAAGGCGGTCAATGTTCTCGAATTCTTTTGGATAGAATACTCATCAAACGATCTATACATGTGGCTCGACGTGAACAGACAAATTGATCAATGAACATATAGTTGATCAACTGAGGTAATTTACCCCTATATTCAGGAAATGTTATTTGAAGCTAACCTGTGGACGGTGAGAAGTTAACAACTAGTTATCAATTGCATAGCTCAAGTATCGGGATAAATATTCTCAACGTTACATGAAGGATTCAAATAAATGTGAATTCTATTATTCCTTTTTCTGATGAATCAGTTTAATGAAATTATTGAGTATTTCGGAACGAGAAAGTTGAGAAGGAAACGTTGCTGTGTTTTCATGTATTTACTAAGTAACAAGATGACTTAATCATTCAGCAAAGTAAATAAAATATGTATCATTAGAGAGTAACTTCCATTTATCGTTGTGAGGGTTTAATTGTTGATTTAATCAAATATTTAATTATTGATAATGTCCAATAGCGTCACTGGGTATTTCAATAAATTAAAGGACACTAAAAATATTGTTTTGTATAATAAACTATTTGATAAAAATAGTTTAATTATAAGTTAGCTGTCAAGTGATAAATGATATATCGAGTATGAAAATAAAGATTCCAACACATCCAATTATTAAAGCGATGTCTGGTTCATAAACCACAAGCAATTATTATTGAAATTCAACTTAATAGTCCTAAGTAGAAGAAAACATATCTTCTGCATTCCACTACGCGCTACATTTTAAAAATATGCTAAAAACGCGTATCCACAGGTAATGTTGAGGTGTTTCGGATGCACATACAAGAAGAATGGCAGATTAATGACAATTTTATATATTAACAGGCGATTAATACAAACCTTTATAAATACATCTCTATTCTTAACCGTTTTCACCGTATCCTTATGTGCAATAAAACAAACAAATTCTTAACTAACTGTTAAATGACTCTATTCTTTGATGTTTCGTACAACAAATAGGATTATTTAATAAATTTAAAATGAACTTTTATTCGATTTTATACAATCCAAATTTAGTTCCCAGTATACCTCTTCTCTCAAGTAAGTTTTTACAAATTATTAGTTAACCATTATACGCTAGAGTATAAAATTAGGTTGATAAGGCGAGTTTGGAGGTGGTGTTTTTATTGGTAACTATCCTCTATATTTTTTAACTTCGTGTCAGATCAAGTTCATTTAGAAAAACAACATAAACCAAATGAATGTAGATCATGATTAATTTCACTTAAAGTCTAAATGGCTTTATCATTTAGTCAATAATCATAACTTGTAAGCATATTTTCATTTTGCCAGTTTAACTTTGATATTCTAACATGATTTATTTTATTTATACTGAAATTTATTTAGCTTCGATTAACTGAGTATCTAAAATTTCTCCCTTATTCTGAATGAGGTAATGTTGGCTAATTATTTCCTTACCGGTTAACAAATATACCATCTAAAGTATAGTTCTCGATGTCAGTAGTTATTCCTACTGAAACTTACTTTAAATCTAATTATAAGAATACTACATCCAGCTGACAAGTTCAAAAACAGGATGAAACGCGCATCCTGGACTCCACTGCTAGCCACTATCGATTTGTACTTAAAAAGCTTGTGACTTAAGGCTATATCGAGGTAATTTGAACAAGATGCACATATGCCAACATGAAACTGATCAATTGCAGTCCTAAATAACAATGGGAAGATACAAGTAAAATAACACCAAGTGAATCTAAGTTTACATACTTTGAAAAAAATTTGATGCTTGGCAAATGACATGATAGTGCATAATGATCACGCAGACCTACCTAAACGGTAAATTAAATTTTGAAAACACCATAGATCTTTAGTAATATACGTTTGTATTTATATAGATTTAAGTTAGCAAACACAATTCGCAGTAAGATTTATTATATATATATATAAATGGAAAAAAGGTTTAAGTGATATTGTGGAGATTTTTTTATTTTATTCAGTTGGTGGTATTCGTCACAGATTAGTTTCATTCAGGATACCACTGTATTCAGTATCTCTTTAATTAATTTAGAAAAGAATAAACTGGTAAAAGAGCATTAAAATGTTTAAAAATAAATCTTAAGAAAAAAATTTTATGATGACAGTTTCTAAATAATATTTCAAACTTTATCTATAAGATACAAAACTGAGTGAAAAATTATCTTAGTTAATGTTATAACGCTCGGTTTTTTCCGTCTACACGAATGGGGTGCTAATTTGTCTTCGACGAATATCTACACTAGATACCTTCCCAGTGCCTATTGTACAGAACTTCAACACAACTCAGATCAAGAACACGTGACTAGCCTAACTAGAGCGTAAGTATATTTCCACACCAAAAACCGACACCAATCATAGTAATAATAAGGGTAATAGAATATATATAACTCATTTAGTACCTGTCAGACTATCTACTAGTCTGACTAAACAAACAACCAGTCATTATCTTTCTGGCCCATACACCAATTAAAATGAATATATGTCAATAAATGCATGGTCAGGTCGTTGACTCGGAGGCTAAATACTGTAAACATGGATTTGAAAACGACGAAATCATATATTAAGTTCTTTTACAAGTTTTCAACTATTGAACCTAAAACTTTAGATTGTTTCCCTTTCAGGATCTTAAAGAAATAAATTATTATTCTGCAAGTAATGATGATCACAAAGTGTGTATAAATAAGTTCATTGTTTGATATAATTGATATCAGACTTTCTGGTTAAATCGTCTTTCATTCTCATAACTAAAAACTTAGACAGTTTCGCATTATTAGTAAGAGTTCATATTATCACGTTGTTGGTATTCAGGAGTGAACTATGTTCAGTCTTTGTTGGTTGCTATAATATAATAGTGTTACAATACGCTTTAGAAAATACGTGAATTGTGGCTTGCTGTGTAATCCAGGATGCTAGTATCTTCATATTAGCGATTCGTCAGCTTGATGAACCAACACTATTACTGATAATTACACAGAGACTCGAATCCAGTATTTCCCATTTTAAATACTAACACGTTATTTCTGTGCTCCGCACAACCCATGTATTTGTAAAAGATTTTTGTTTATGTGAAACGATGGTTAAATGTAAAATTAATAAACCGTTAACAACTAATAGATTTTCATTGTACGTATCGTTATTATATGACCTAATATAAAACGCATTAAAATTGGTAGACAATAATATATAAAGGTTAGTAGCTTATAGGCAGTGTCACCTAAATAAAAGTGTTACTGATTGTGACAAAATCAATATATCAACAGGTTAAATTGTTATAAACCCGTTCAACTAATCAATAATATTTGTTTTTTCCACTTATGATATTTGTGGCTTTTAGCTAATAATGTTTCAATGCTACGTTGTTTACTAATTAATTATAAAACTACTCAAAGTTGAAGTTGTCTTATGCCACTCACCAGACAGTCGTTTTGTATAGATTTACTGTCATTATTGGAGCACAACCAAATATATTTGTGTAGTAATAATTCATTTGAATGATGTATTGTTTACCACGAATGTGTAATTTAATTATGTTTCCATTACTGAAGTTACGTTATGATATATTATTTGAATAACAGCCCCTATTCATTTGTAGGATTTACTTATTCTGTTATGTCCTACATCGATGAAATATGCATTTGAATAAAGTCAAGGCGTTAGAGGATATGTATTACCGGATTTATTTATGTAACGCTAACAGTGTGGTGAATGCGAACACAAGTGAGGACGACCAAATGTGTTTGAATACAACTATGAAAAACCTAGAAGAACTAGATTTCCACATTAGTACGAAATGGCTGTCCAATGCCTCCTGGTTTTCCATAGTGGTCTAACTTCAATCGACTCATGATCTCAACTACTGAAATTATTATAAAATTCATAAAAACCCTTCTGATATTAATTAAATATAAAAATTTCTAATTTATTTTTTATCAAAACAAAATTTATCTATTCAAGTATAATCTATAATGTTTCTTTAGACTTTCTTTTTTTTACTGATAGTTATCTGTATGTGTGTTTTGCACTCTTCTTTTTCTTTTTTTTTTTAAAGAAAAATAAACAAGTATATATAACAAGTACATTAACAGTTTGTACATTTTTAAAATGTTAAACTTTGGAAGTTTCAACTAATTTTTTTTGTTTTTTTGTTTTTAGTTTTATAAACAATCAATAAATTGAGCAGTAAATACAAAGATAATATGTCAACTACTAAAAAACAATCAATGATAAATAGGTGAGAAATTAATTTAACAAAATTTAATTAATATAATCTGATAATTTTCAAATAATTCTAGTAAATTTTATTTTCACCATGATCTAAGAGTTTTAATAGAACATTTTTATCTTGAATATTTAAAGTAATTAGTTCCTTTGAGTTGGGATATTCAGAAAAATATCCCAATAATTATCCTGGTAAGTCTAATGGTGTCCTTGGACTTTAAATGGACATTTCCCATTGGTCAATATTTATTTCACTTGTCAAATATTGTACAAATGTTGTTTTCTATTTTATGTTACGATGTGGTCTGTTTGATTGGTGTATAAATAGATTATGTCTGAAATATAATGATTCATATCTCAGAGGCTGAGAATTGCGTTCTGGACTCAACTGGCTGGGTTAGACAGGGAAGCGGGGTCAATCAGGATTCTAGGTCGTTCTTGCGTATTTACGCGTCTTTGGTCCGATCGATAATTCGCTAACCTCCAATCAGCAGCATAACAGATTACAACACTTTGATAAATTTCAATATTGTAATAAGACGAAGATTATCAGAACTGTGATGATATATTAGCACAATACATTTCGAACAATCTGATCACAAATATATTTGTAAAGAAAATTTATTTGTAGAAACAAAGGGTCAACTAAGCTAGAAATGAAAGGTAAGAGGAGATAAGGATATTGAAGAAATAATGTGGAAACGATTTGAAACCTCATCACTCTAGATAATAAGCTAATAATATTATTACGGTAGGTTTAAAGTGAGAACAAACCGTTTTTCAATAAACAAAAGGGGTTTGAATTTTCGTAAAGCTAAGGCTTCAATAAACTTTAGTATACACCCTTTTACAATTTTATACAACACCACAAAAACCGAGTTAAGATCGGTCTTATGGCCTATTTCGTTTATATGTTTAGCATCAGAGGATAATGGACGTTTATCCTCTACTCTTATTGAATCGCTTGATTCTATTTTTTCTGCAACTATTTTGGTACATGTTCACATAGTTTTGATAATCTTCGTCTTCTTATTAAATTATCGAAAATTGAATATTTAATTTACTGAAATCACTTCATTGATTTTGGTTCGATTTAAATATGCTTTTAATGTTACAACTTATAATCTGTAAATGAATGAAAATTTCATCTAGTTATGTGTCTGTTTTACAGTAGAATAATTTCAATATTCTGCTGAGTAACTAATTGCTGAGTAATTAATATGGTATTTTAGATTACACTGTTTATATCAAATCCACAAACTCCGTTAATATATTCGTTTTAACAGTTGACAGATTACGTTAATTTACACTTCCTCAAGTGAATGAACGAAAATATCGTTTATTATTTGTGATAGCAATCCATGATTAGATAAAGTGACTTCAGTTTGGGGGGAAGATGTTTTGATTACGTAATAATATAAGATAATATAAAACCGTTTGACTGGCAATGTCTTTATTTTTTTATGGTTTCATCTTTGAAAACTGCCAAGGTAAAAAGTAAGTGAATTTAGCACATATAAATCCCCTGAATCCTCTTCATTGACAGCATAACCTGCTTACCCAAATGTTAAACATGATGGGTATGTGGTGCTAATAAAATATCAGTTTCTTTATACTCAGTAATGATAGTTGATGAGGTTGGTTAAAATATTTCATCACATACTTAAATGGTCTCTGTAAAGACATTACATTTACAGTTGTTAGGTAATTAAATACACCAATGGTCTCACCTGCTAATCAAGACAACTGCTATACCTTTTAAGATCACTAGTATAAAAAAGTGCATATACATTAACCTTTCCATAATGACTATAAAGTATATCAAATATAGATTTGAGATGATAATCCATTCAAAACAGCTAGAAAATGCACAGCCGCAAAAATCTAATTTTGTGAAAGATTTTTCACTTTCATAATCATTGAAAAAACTTAATTTAACTCGGATTTTTGAATCGTTATATTTTCAATCTTTATTCTGAAAAAAATTATTTTGGTTAGGTCCATAAACTGAAAAATTTCAAAATGCAATCACTTATAAAATATGTCTTTCGATATTTAATTTCATCATGGTTTCTTAATGTAACACATCAGAAGGCGAGACTATAATTTATGGGTGAATCAATCAGGTATAAGATAAAAGGTCCCGGATTTTGGCGCGAAATTCATCCATCCATTTGGCTAAATAGAGTTTTGGCATTATAGCGGATGTCAGTTCGTGATGATAACCCTAAATCTAATTTCTAACTCTAACCATTAACTACATTTCATAATTCTAGTTCCTCACACTGGTTTATAACTCTCATTTGAACATTGTTCTTAGGTCACTTTAACGTCGCTCAAAGGTCGTCCATAATTTATAGTCCCACTCATCAGGATTTTCATTTTGTGTTTATTTGAATCTATGATCTTGTAATCAAATGTTCATTGTAAACTCATCAGATTATTTTACTTCGCTACTTACTTTCCCTTTTATAACTAAAATAACAATTTAGTAGGCAGTATTGTATTCCAGTGTCTTGAAATGAACATTGTAATCAATTCGAGATAAAAACGAATTTATTATATTGCGAGATCATTTAAACTTAGTTTTTTTTAATTACTTACTAGTGGATTGGATATTATATTTCAATGACAATACTTGATCTAATTTTCTGTTCAGTCAACATCAGGGATCTTCTGAAACATTTTAACCAGGGAATTTTTGAGAACATTCTCACCAAATAAAAATATCCAAAGATATGCACTTATTTTGTGTTTAGTTTAGATAATCAATGAATCTTAGTTAACAAGTGAATATGTGTAGGTATAAGAATAAGTTATCGAACGTTTCAAGCAATCAGTGTTTAGGTAGATGAAATTCTTAGCTTCCTTTGTGTAAAAATTTGAATTTATTTCTGCTTATTTGTGGAAATGTTTTAATGTATACATTTTATACAACAATAATCCTTTGTTTTCATCCTTGAATTCAAAGTTTTCATTTTCGGTTTGTTTGTTTACTCATTCCGTTTAATTTTTGGCTCGAGATGAGACTGCTACAATTCATTTCACTTGCAGCCTGATTTAATTAGTGTATTACCTACTTGTTAGTTTATTATGAGTTGTAAATTTTGTATTGAATACCATTTAAAGTAGGAGGATGTGGCCACATTGATTCTTTGGGTTTAAATTGTTTCGCTTGAATTGATTGAACTCAACTGCAACGGGACAGTAATCTTTTCATAAAGTTGATGTCCTTTTATCTGTTAATTAACGTATTTACATTAATAACTGTGATTTACATTTGATGTTTGTCATTAGAAATTATATTTAAAGTTTCCATCACGAACTGACATCAGCTAAGGTGCCAAGACATTATTCAGCCAAGTGGATAAAGAATTTCGTGCCGAAATCCAAAACCTGTTTTTGTAAATTTGATTCGTTCGTCCATAAATTATAGTCTCGTCCTTGTTACAGTGAACCTTTTAATATTTGTAACATTTTTATATTGCTTGTAAGCTGGAATGACTTCAGCTTTAACTGGAATGCCTGGGCAGATGATGGAAATATCCAGCTTGTAGACAAGTGATATTACGGGATGAAAAATATAGAGTCACGTTTTCATCTCCCTGTGATTCTTGCTCAACATAACTTCCGTTGTTGATTCGGTATAACGATTCTTCATTTTAATATTTGTTTTATCTTCAGCATGATATTTTACTTTATATGGCAATGATTAATCTCAATATGATGTTTACTGAATATATTTTATATGTGTTAACGTGAACAATATTTAGCATAACATGCAGGACTGGACTTTTTAATAATTTCATATTTGTGAACTTTTCTTTGTTAATAATCAAATGGGTTTACCGATCAATATATATTTGGGTGTATTTTTGATTAAGGTCGTTGAGCTTATTTTACAGTCAGTAACTTTTCACTTGTATCAGTCTTATTGTTCTTACTTAGCTTCAAGGGAATTGTGGTGGTTCCTCTTTTTCAAGTAAACGTCATAAGCGACGGTGACTTTTATAAACATTAGAGCGCACAATTGTGGTAACCAGTCGCAAGGTTTTCATCGCGTTTTAAGTCAAGTAATGTGTTATAATCCGGTCTATTTTCACTATTATATCTATTCTATAACACGGAATATGAATAAAGAAGAGCTACTAGTCAAATACACAAGTTACTATAATGTAAACATTAACATGTATGACATGACAATTAACTATTTCGTATATCTCTGCACTTGGCAAGCGACCAAATGATTTCAACTACATTATTTTTCATAAAACCTCACTGAGCATCGGTTTAAAATCTCATGAGATCAGACGCTTTACAGTTATTCTTCCCATTGACATCTCTCATACGAGTATCCGTATCATCAAGCACCTTGAAATTTATTCTATAACTTATAGTATTTGGTTGAAGTTAGTATGTATACCAACATGTAGTTAGGTGCCATAATGAAGAATGATTTATGGTATACGTCCTCTAACAATTTCAAGTCATTTTTGCTTTTTCTGGAGAGGATGCCTCCGATTTTTTTTGTACTGTTCATCCTTCGAGATTCAATACTTTAAAACGTTCAAAGGGTCAATGTGCAACGTCTTGAACTCCATGAACTTTGGGTGAAGCTTTTATATATACAGGTGACAAGGTAGTTGCACATTCAGCGGTTTAAATAATTAAGAGCTTGTAGTGACCTACTTTTATGAAAAGAACGCGATCGGTATAATGGAAACACTTATTATTATAACCAATTGTACCAGTGACTGTTTTACTGTATCTGTTTGTTTAAGTGTACCAAAAAAACACATTCTTCCGTTGACTGTAACCTTGCAAGAACTCGCGTACGCTCAGTAGTCCCGCTTGCAAACTTTGGCACGATCTCGGTATGATTTTAATACCACGAAATTGCCAACAAATATATCTTATTACAATTATCAACTGGCTTCTGGATTTCGGACTACGGTGGGAATCAACCTAATAAGTGGCAGAAGATTTTTCTGTAGTGGTGAACATAGTGAATCGCAAATCGAAACCATACTGCAAGCTCAACAATTTGGCGATTAGATGGTAATTGTTTGAAATAAGAATCTGTATAAAAAAATGTATATTGAGAGGAACTGAGTCGTTTTAACTGACTCTACATATTCAATCGGTGGCTGGAGAACTGTATACTTTTATGTTAACCAATCAATTATACAAAAAAGCTAGGCATCATATAATGGATTATTTATTAGTAGAAGAAATCGTTTATATCTAGCGGGGTATGTGACTTTATTAAGGAGAGGAAAAACATCCATTCAATTTCTTTTCATGGCAACATCAATCAGATCGTCAGGGTCGATTGTCACAAGGTAAGCAGGTAGTGGTAATGAACCATACCACTTTTCCAGTGATTCTTCACAATTAATGTTTATTTGCAGACAGCTAGTTCACTCCAACATAACCTGGATCATTATATTCTAAGTACATATCTTAAAATTAGGATTTTGACATTGAAAAACTTTGTAGTTGTTAGACGCAAACAACAATTTAATAAGTGCCTAGGGCATAGAATTGTTTGGAAAGTGAACAAATCCAAATAAAGTTCTAGAATATGTA